CACAACTCCCTGGTTCTTCATTCTTTGAAGTTCACACTTGACCTTTTCTTGCAGTGCCACAGGCACTTTCCTGGCTGGGTGAACGACGCCTTGTGAACCTGGCTTCACCTTCATGTTGTACACAAATCCCTTGACTTTTCCCAGTCCGCAGAAAACGTCTTTGTATGATCCGGCAGGGTCGCAAAGATTTGTACCTGCTGCATTTGTGTCTTCATGTTCTCTTGACACTGAAGCCAGACGCTTAATCATTCCAAGTTTTTCACTCAGTTCTCCTTCCAACGTCACCGATACCTCTTTCTTGACCACAAAGAACTTTTCCAGGACCGTTCTGGCTCCATTCGACACTGTTAGTGTCGTTCTCCCACATGCTTTTCTCTTGTGACCAAAAAACAATGACAGTGTGGTGTCGCACTTCCGGACTTTCTTGTTTGATATTAAATGAAGCAGTCTTTCTGGGATGACTGAGCAATTAGCCCCGGTGTCGAGCTTGCAGCTTACGCTATCTTTTTCTATTGTGACTGTCTCGCTCCATCGGTCTTCTTTCTCTATATTATCTATGGTTAAATGGCACAGCAGATAATCTTTATCGCTGTCGTTCGTATCCTCACGCTCTACTTGTCATACTTTGGGATCAAATTTTCGTCATTTTTTCGACCGACGTCGCTGACAGCTGTCTGATGTCTGGGTCCCGCTCTTGCAGCATTTTACAAAATGGCCTAGCTCGCCACAACCAAGGCACTGTTTTCCAGTAGCTGGGCACGTGCTCGCGCGATGAATGAAGCCACAACAGTGGCACGTGGATTGGTCCGCTCTTCTGAGCACCTTTACTGCCAGTGGGTCCTCGTGTTGCTCGTCCTTTCCGTGGATTTCGTTTAGCTGTTCTTCAGTTCGTTCCCTCGTTTGGCATATCTCCAGGACTTCGTCAAAGGTAGGATTGTCGTTAATCAATTTCTGCTGCAACTGTCGGTCTTTCATTCCGAGTATTATTCGGCTTCTTAGCATACATTCTTCGATGTCACCGTACTCGCAGTTGCACACAAGCACCCTCAGTTCCATCAACCACTCATCAAATTTCTCACCTTCTTTTTAGTATCTTTTCCCAAAGATGAATTCGTGGTGTGTGAGGTTGATCGCTGGCTTCATGTGCACCGCAAACTTATTCTTCAGGACTTCTAATTTCCCTTTGTCTTTCTCGTCATTGAATGTGAAGGTAGTGTAAATTCACCTACCTTCTTCTCCGATGCAGATGAGAAGTGTTGCTGCTTGCACCTTGTCAGGTTGGTCCATCAGGTGCGTTGCTACTGCAAACAGCTCGAATTCCATTAGCCACTTCTTCCATGCGTTCCAAGGTTCGTTTGCCAGGTCTAGCGGTTGGTTTTGGCGGCGGCAGTAGGCTCGTCATGGTGGTCGCTGTTCGCTCACTTCGGCATTCTTCGCGGTCGCCACCTTCTCCAGGCCTTTTGTCCAGCGTTGCTTTGTTTTCTTGAACCGCTACAAACCAATTGGGCTTAAATCGCTGCCACCATGTAGGAAGCAACACGTATCCGCCAGCATGGAGATTCGAACGAATAATCTTTATGTCGCGCGCTTCACGCTCGTGTTCAAACCGCGGCATCACAGAGAGAGAGGTGGCGCCATCTTCCGCTGGTTACTACACTTTTTATGCTTTGATTTCTCAACCTTTGTCACATGCTCAAACCTCCAAATTTTGGTGCGAAGCTTTTTCTGGCAAGGCGACTCGCTGCCTCGCCCACCGAATAGTACTGCGGTGTCTGCACACTGCCCCCCTTCGACGATGGCCTCTTTTCACCCCCGGACAGCCAGTGCTGAAGGCCTGCTCCAGCGGCCAGCGCCAGTCCGGCGCCCATCTCCAGCATTTTGTCCCAAACACCGAACCAGCCTGCACTAACACTGATCGCGTCACCCACCACCTCTGGGGACAGGCCAAGAGCCCCCAGTACTACGGAAAAAAGGAGAACATCCATCTGGTTCTCCAACCTCAAGTCCGTCAAAAACAAAATGCTGGAGTTTTAAGTGCTCACTGAGTCCCGCCCAAACACCATATTTGCCTTATGCGAGGCTTGGCTGGACAACTCCATTTATGACAGCCACCTCATTGACCTAGCACGGTTCAGAGTTTACCGGCAAGATCGTAACAGATTTAAAGGTGGAGTCCTCGTTGCCGTACTGTCATCAATTACATGCACTGGAAGACACAACCTGGGCTGGGATAACCTCGAGGCCATTTTCGTTGACCTTCATGCAAAACAGAGACTTCTACATCCATGTGTCGCACCCCCCCCCCCTCAGCAAGACAACAGAAAGCTATGATTTGTTACTGTTGTCACTATCCTCCATTACCCTTTCAAAACGGAAGTACTCCAACGTGCTGGCGGTTGGAAACTTCAATGCGCATATTGACTGGTCAGACGCAAGTGCTTTCGTGCCCACTGGACCATCTGACGCTGTTCTCTCGACCACATGGAAACACTCGGACTTACCCAAGTGTGCAGCGAACGAAGCCACAGCACCAGCAGTAATCCAGCTTCTTTCCGTGACCTCATGTTCGTCTGTAATCCTGCACTCAGCTCAAATTGTTTCATGGAACCGAGCCTCACAGGCTCTGGCCACAAAGCATTAATTACAACCACATATTATCATTTGCCTAAATCAGGAACCCATGCCAGATGCCTCCATAACTTTGCAAGATTAGATATGAGCCACCTCAACTCACTTACGTATACACTTTGCCCCTTGGGGCACGGTGTTTTAAGACAACCACGAAGACCCGTATGACATATGGCTCGATCATGTATGCCATTGAAGCTGAGTGCATCCCTTCCAGAAAAAGCTGAAACTAATTCTGAGCATCATGGGTAACGAAGGAGGATACTGCTCCAGGCCCAATGAAAGCGTCGGCTGTTCGCACAAGCAAAGAGAACTAACTGCCTCATTACATTTCAGGCAGCCCGCACCCTACAGAGACGCCCGAAGAAACACATCAGACAGACGCACCAGGACTACGCTTTGAACATGGCACAGCAGGTCATAAGGCATCCAAAGATATTTTGGGCCTTTGCAAGACACAACAAGCAGAACATGTCTGGTTTAAACATATTCCAGGATGGCAAGGCTCTACGCGACTTGGAAACTGCAGAGCTTTTTAGGTATACATTTCGCTGCAGCATAGACACCACCCAGCAGCCCCTCATTGCAACCAGAAACCTACCCATCATCATCGCAGCTGGCCACCTCACCCTGTTTAACTAGTATCCCCACCATCGAGGTCAAGCAGCTCTCACCCAACTAAATCCGTCACAGTCGCCCGGTGCCGACGGCACCCACTCTGTGCTCCTTAAAGCAAGTGGTCAACAACTAGCCCCATTACTGGCTCGACTGTTCCAACAGCCCCTGGACACTGGGTGCATCCCTACCCTATGGAAGCAAGCCTATGTCACACCGATCTATAAAGGAAATGGTTCCCCAGCAGACAAACCAGGATCCTACTGACCAATCTCCACGACATAAGTCGTCTGCCGTACAATGGCACGAGTGCTAAACTATGCCCTACACAAATACGTAACCACACTCTTCTGTCTCCAGCGCAACATGGCTTTTGCCTTGGTCAATACTGTGAGACTGCCCTGATCACTACTGTTCACCAAATCAGTGACAGTCTGGACAACTCCATACCGTGCCACCTGGTGCAGCTCGACTTCACCGAAGACTTCGACAAAGTAGACCACAATTTTAACTGTTAATGGAATTCTGGTTGAACGAAAAGAGATAACTCTGCTGGGTGTCACCCTCGACAGTAAACTCAGCTTCACTGCACATGTCCACTCCGTTGCCTCACGTGCACGACGGTTGCTGGGATTTGTGCAAACTATTAGTAAGGGTCTGGGATCTGCTGTGCTCACGCAGCTGTAGACTGCGCTGGTCCTGCCCCTATTAGAGTATTGCTTGCCGCTGGTCGCCACAGGAAGCCTCGGCCCAAGCAACACTGGAGACTGTCCAGCAGCAAGCAGCTTACGGCATCTAATGTCGTACCTCCGCTTGGCTGCTCTTAAGAGCAGCCAAGTGGAGCACACTGTCCTACCGGCGTGATGTAGCCACCCTAGGGTTTCTGGCTCAAGTGATTGGCCCTGGGGTCCCACAGGGCGACTACCCTTGCTCTGTACCCCGGTGCAACGAACGGACCGGACACGTTGACCCTCTCTTCACGCTGACCCGATGGCCCGACAACTCGCATCTCCTCCGGGGTGTGAGACATCCGATGTCCCTGCCTGATGCCATCACCAGCCTGCCTGTTACGAATAGGGACGAGGTGACACAGCTCTGCAAGGCAGCGGCCAAACACCTCTAAACTAGCACCCACGAATGTCTCACGTACCTCATCAAACTTCACCCACCTCTCCCTCAACCCTCTTCACCATCCCATCATCATCAACATTCCGCACGCATCAAGCCAACAAGCTTCACATCATTTTCATTGTTTACTTCAACCGGCCGCATAGGCAATGTGTACAGGTGGCAACACCTTCTATGTTGTCTGTACAAAAACATACAAATGACTTTCTATCTATCTAGTTTAGCACAGTTGGGTATTTTTCTTGATGGTACGCCCAGTTATCATCATGTGTTGAAACTATTTGGATGCCAGAAGCTTGTTCAATTGAACCGAAGGAGACGAACATGTTGGAGCGATCTAACAGCTCCGATTACCAGTTTGTGAGTGAGGAAAGGGGTCGAAGGTTCCCTAACACAGGGGCACACCGAGCAACCATGTAAGGGTCAATAGGAATGTGGCGAGGAAAGAGAGGTAGTTTTTCTGTACAATGCCCAACACTTAGGAATTTTTATCTGCTGCACTTTCACTCGCTAGATCGCACATTTTTCTTACTGCACGGAAGATAGCAATTGAGAAGCGCTTGGCACTAGTAAAAAACCGAGGCATTGTGTTTGTAGCACACTGCTCGACTCCTCCACTTCTCTTCTAGGACGAACCCCTCCAAAGGAAAACCCAGTTGTTGTGCCTTCTGCAGAGTCTCAAAGTGCTGTTTCCGTCTTGACGATCACCGAACAGGATTCTCCTGTCATAGTGGATGAGGTAAACCAGATTTCTCTATAGCATTTGTGGCACTTTCTTTGCTCGCATGCTGCCTGTTCGTTTGCAGGGTGTTGAGAAATTACTGCTTGGTTTTCTGCCTAGTGTGCTTGTCATTAATTTGTTGTGCCCTAGTGAAGGCATATTCCACGGATGGTGCTGTCTAAGTATGCCGAGGGAAATTAAAATAAATAATTATTTCCAACTTATTAAGACCTGTTTTGATGGCAAATTATTTAAGTTTTGCCGTACACAACGTGAAAACTCTAGATTCAACTTGGTCTCTATGAAACGTACTGCCACTCGCCCGTTGATGGTCTCTGGAATTATGCCGCCACGCATGCAGCTTTATTTACAGACCCGCTGCGGTGAAGCCTTTAGTTTGGTCTTATTTCTTTGTCATTGGACCAATGGCCCAAACCGGAAACGTGTGCAAAAAGAGGACAGATTGCACTTCACCATGCGTAACTGCCTAGCGGCATGGTGGCTGTCTTCCACTTAAATGCATCTCGTTCAATCCCTCTTCAGTGGGCATCTCATTATATTTAAAGCCATCTCTTTCTTTAGCTGCTCAGCCCTGTTTTTTCTATACATGGTTCATTATTCGGAAAGAGATAGTAAACTGCATCTTGAACAATTAGGTTGCCGTATGTAAGAAAGATCTGGGGCGATTTATGTTGATGTGGCAACCTACAATTGACTAAAGTTAATTTGAACAGTTCGATGCCGTCATTTCTAATTTTTCTTTTAGGTTTTTGAAGCACTGCTCGCGGAGAAACCAGACGTGAGTGAAGCTGAACCTGACGATGACTTCAACCAGGATAATAAAGTGAGGGGAAGTTTTCTATTACAATAATCATATCATGAATTTACTATACTCCGCTTTGCAACAGGTGAGGGTGGAGCCGAAGCTACTCTAGTCACTGACAAGGTGACAACGGCTGGGCTCCGCTTCTAGCTTGAGTTTGCTACCTCTTCCACAGCGCTTCGGCATCTTTTGCACCTTAAGCGCACGCTCAAAGTCAAAGACAAACCCTGCCGTCTTCATTCTGTCAGTGACTGTAGCACGAGCTTGCACTCTAGGCACGCTCAAGGTGCGGAGCTTGCTTTTGCAGCTTCTGTCATGCTCGCACATGTGGTGAAGTGGAGTATGTCTAGTCTTATGGAAAAAAATTAGCCCTAAAAGCATCGTAGTATATCGACGACGGATGCAGAAAGTGCAGATTGCCTGTGAGGTTTATTGTTATGAAATCGGGGCTTGTTTTCTTTACATGTGCCGTCAGTCGAGGTACAAAAGCTTGTCACATAACGTGACTTTGCAGTAGAAATACCGCATTGTAAGGCCCCAAACGAAAGCCCACCTATGGTGAAGAGATAAACATGAAAAATATAAGGGGCAGTCTTTTGGGATGCTGTAGAATAAACTGAATGAGCGACAACAGGTGCAATAAACAAATTAATCGGTTGTGCAACGAGAAACCTACATACTCGGCATATTTTCAAACAGTTATGCAGCCCCATACTGCCATGGAAGCATGTGACTTCATCTTGCACGTCATTTGCACATGCTTGGGTGTGAATGAGGTGTCATAGAAGCCACACACACGCTCGCATTAGTAGCATTTGCACCACTGTATGCCGTGAATGAAATCAAGTACAGGTGGTGCGGCTTTTGCTCGGAGTTCTGTAGAAACTTCCCAGCCTTGACAGTGTTGCATTACAGTTAATGCCAAGTACAATATTATAAAAAGAAGAAGAAAACTACAGAAAATGTAATTGGAAGTTTTCAACACTAGATGACAAGATGTGTGTGCTCACAAAATTGAAGGGGTCATGGCTCGTTAGTATGAACATCGTCAAGTAAGGAATTTAGTCATCAATACTGAATTATGCTTTCCCAGGTCACCTAATGCAGAAAAGGTGCCTAAAGTGGTTCCTCAACTGTGTTTTTTTTGTTTTTTTTTTCACATCAGTCATGAAGTGCTGGGTAATCTGCATGCTTTGTCTATTTCACTGCAGCAGTGCGGTGAAATGCAAGCAGAGAGACTTAACCAAGAGATTGTTTTAAGCAAAAAGAGGTCTACCTGAGCAAGGGGCTTCTTTTTCATACTTGGTGAAAGAAAATGAGCCTGGCAAAAACACAAGGATAACATGTACTTTCCAACATGCTAAGCTCTTAACATGTTAGGACTGTTATCATCATGCCAACTCATAGGACTATACGTAATCCACCAATGATGCATTGCCAAAATGTCCCAAAACATTGACCCTATCTCAGACAGTAGAGAGTAATTCTGTTGTAACTTTGTTTAGATAGCTGCAAGTTAGTCAGCCCCAGTCAGTGTTTCTCCAATCCTTTCTCTACTGTTGTACTGTGCTTAAAAGCCGACATACAATCTAGGTTTTCTGCAGGGAAGATAATCCTCTTTGTGCTCCCCTCTCCTAAGCTGTGAAGTTTGCCAAGAACGGGAAGGTTGAGAAGTGGAGAGGATTTAGGAATGGAGAAGGCGGGCAAAAGTGGAAAACGTAAAGTGTACATTGGCCTTTAAACGAAAACTGCGCTAAACTCATGAAGGTTGCTCCCAAGCTTCCACTTGTCCATTGATAAGCCAAATATCTAACTGTATTTGTGGACTGTGACCTCAGAATGCCTTCGGATTGCAGGTGAACGACGGATTTTACATAAAATTAAACCTATAGGGATGCCCAGCTATAGCTAATTGAGTGGATTTACAAATCTTACTACCGTATATACAAATATTCCCTCTTCAATCTCAAATTTGAAAAATAAAAAAGGATCATGAATCACGAGTGCGAGTTGTCAGGCATCTTTGCTTAATAAATACTCTTGCATAAGAGTCACAGTTTAATTTTGAAAATTTCATTGCAGTGTAGATATCAACGTTAGCAAAATATTCCGTTTCTTTTTAAATACCCCAGGCGCATGTGTGCATCATCCAGCTTTGAAAGTGTGCTTTTCTCCGGAGCACGCAATTGCGAAACTTCTTCAAGCATTGATCGCGGCGGTTGCCCCGTTGAGTGCGCTTCTTACCAAGCACCGTCGCACTGTGGAAGAGTGACCCCGGCGGAGCTCGCTTCTGTGCGCGTTGCTTCTCCACAGTGCATCCGTGCTCGGTAAGAAGCACGCTCAACGGGGCTAACCTGCCGCAATCAACACTTCGAAAAAATATTAATATCGCAGTTCATCTCGCAGCAAATATCGAATAGTGTATTATTCAAAACTACTATTCGAAATTTCAAATATTCTCATAACACCACGCTGTAATGATTACACGAGTACACATCAATACGATGCTCATCCAGACCAAAACCAGGCTGCGGTAGGGATTGAACCCCGGATCCCCGGATAGTGCAGCGAGAGCTTTTGCTCTACATGCTCCTAGCTGCGGTGTGCTAACGCACTCGGCCACAGATCCTAGTCCCCTTTTCAATGAAGCTCATCTCGCTTGCAGTCGTCCGTAAAGCAGAGGGAGGCATCGGCAGTCATGTTCAAGGAGCTCAGGAGCGTCCTCGTTGTCAAGGCTAAAGAGCACCAAGAGCGCGAGAAGAACGCACTCGCACGGAGCGGCGTCGAAGGCGAGCACTTCGACAAGTTGGGGTTCGTCGTCCCCGACAACGAATGCCCGCTCGAGACAGACGCGCTGGGAGGCGCCCTTCCCGAACCACACCAAAACAGACTCCTCGCCGATACAGCCGCGCCAGACAGAGGCGCCGCAAGAAAGGACGATCCCAGGGGTGGTGAGGGCGTGACCTGTGATCCCCGCGAGCCTTTCCCGACCAGAGAAGTCCTAAAGGAACGTGCCGAAAGCATTGTGACCTTGCCTGCGGGTCGGTTCTCCTTGCCACATCCGAGCAGCCTCGCCTTCTTGGCAGTGGACAGGGCCAAACAGTTTCTCCCCATGCAAGCGAGCACCTTTGAAGACGGCATCAGTGGCAGTTCCTCCGAGGACGCAGAACTTGACGACGACGACAACTGATTGGGTGCAAAGAAATTATTTGGACAACTCGGTGCCTTAACTCGTTATGTCCGACGTCTTTCTTCTACGGCGTGTCCCCGAGACAAATTTACAGTGTTTTTCGAGTGCAAAAATGAACTATGCACTGCCAAATGCTCAGTCTCCACCCAAATATAGTGCTAGTGGTCTGGACCAGGTGCCAAACCTCCAGATTTAACCGTTGTTTTATTCAAAAGCTATAACTGATGTTCTGAAACTTTCAATATGAAAGTGGGGCATGTTCCCGGTAGTTGACACCATTCCTTTCCATCTATTCGTGGGTTTCGTCAACCACCTCTTACCCATTAACAAATTTCCGAAAATCGCTTGTAACCTTTTAATAAGAGCAACGGAACTGCAACGGATGTTACAAGCCACTGTAGTCAATCCAAAACTTGGAGGGCGTCACGTGTCACACATGATCCACTGGATTGGCTAACATTGTTTGTGGCGTCCATTGCGGTACATCATAGGGAGAGACCGAATATATAGTTCTGAAACATTGGCATCTGGTCCATACCGCTACTCTTGGGTGGAGGCTGGTTATTTGATCATCCATAGTCTATTTTGACATTGAAAAAATTGGCAGGGACCTTTACCTTTAAAGTTCTATGCTGCATGAAATGCAGTATTTAAGAAACAATTGTTTTAATTTGTTTAGAAGACTACATATATAGTTTCGTGTAGTATAGGTCACGTGGCATCAACATATATGTAAAAGTATAGATCAGGTGACGTCAGGTCACGTGACATTCATTTTCCCGCTAAATTTAGCAGAAAATGTACAGGTGGACAGGCAAACGAAATGTTGGGACTGGGGGCTAGTGTTTAAAAGCATTTCATGCCTTAAAAAAAATACTATTTTGGGGGGTGGGGGGTTTGGGGGTGGAGGGTTGGACTTTTTGTACATGTTGTGGCTCAGTTTCATTGGGCTGTGACCTGATGTGAACATTGTGCGTGCCATGCAGTGAAATTTCTTAAGTGTTTTGTTTCATATTTATATATTTATTTGACTTTTGCATTGCCTGTCAAGAGGGAATATAGGTTTACACTTCATTGTCTTTTTGCGTATTATTTTTAGAAAACGTACTAAATTAATATATATGAAGGGCACAACTGAATTTGTGTCTGGAAAGAGGATATGAGTATACAGAGAGACAGATCACAAGTGCAGTTCCACATATTTCAAGAAATGTCACTCTGCTTCTGGAGTTGCAAGAGTGTTTGGTTCATTTTGGAGACAGATTGCAGCCATGCTTAGAATTGATAAGTAATTGTCTATGGGGTTGTACAAAATATATATATATATATTTTTTTTTTAGTTATGTTGCTGTATGGTGCTAAAAAAAAGTGGAAAGGTAATGAAAAGGTAAGCCCAGTGACCACTTCTGTGTTCAGAGCGGTTTAGTCATAAAAGGGTACTCTGGCGTTTTCTTCATACTCCCCGATTTGCCTGAAAATTTGCTAAACACACCAGCAAACATCGCTGAAATAGTTGCCCAAATATTCGGCCAAACTAAATGTTTTTCGCGAAGTTATTGAATTTACAATTTTGGTCCTCGCCGTGTTTTTCAAAGTGAAAGTCTCTACTGGCAACAATGAAGTGACGTCAGTGGAAGGCAGGGGTTCACTTTGGGACTGCAGACTTTGTTCCCAACTGATTGCGAGTAGTTTCATGGTGTCAAAAAGCTCGCTCGAGTACCCGCGCAGCAGCACGAAACAAATGCGCGGCGTAGTCCATTTTTAGACTGCCCGCTTGACCTGCGACCTTTTGCTTTCGGCGGAGTACCCCTTTAAAGGGGTACTCATTTTGGGTATTCTTCATTTTTGGTATTGAGAAAACTATGCAGCCCTCTTCAGTATCATCTAGGAAGGCTGTATGTCAAATATCACGATCTAATTCCGTCTATATATTTAATAAACTGGCCAGCAAGCTTTCAAATGATCCAAGTCGCCGAAATCTGCTAACTCTAGCGTGCGACTTGAGGCGGCGCAATCGTCAGCGCAGTCAATGCGACGGAGTTGGAGCAGCCAACATTGAGTCACTACGTCAGAGTCATGTCTACGTCATTCTCGCGTTTTCTTTGTTTTTACTCCTCAGAGTGAAATTGAGCGATGACGTCTTGAGTTTCTCCTCCCGGTGTTGGCTCAACGGTGCCCACGTGATCACCGTAACACGGATGCGCTAGTTTGCGCTGCCCGTCGCGCTTCTTGGAGATGAGAGCTGGGAGCAGCCTGTTTCGCCTCGCAGCTGTTGTAGTTTTAGAACGTCGTTTTGCTTACGATACGAGCGCGGTCCGCATCTCCGATGCCTTGCTGCGATGCCTGGCGAAAGATCCATAGGCTCACGATGTTGTGTTGCTGCTTGCTCGAACTACCAGTTGACCAGCCCGGGAGTTGTCTTTCACAAGTTCCCACACGACAGTGTGCATTCGGACATGCCGTGCCAATGGAAGTCCAGGAAGCCGTTGTCGCCAAATCGCAGAACAATGATCTGTGCCGATTGCTTGTGCTCATGACACCTACTTAATTTGCTGTTACCAGCTAAACGGAGGAACGTGCGTGAAGATATAAGTTGCGCTGTGAAACCAAATGAATGTGTGCACTGGCGCATACTTATCACGGCATTCATAATTTCCGCTGAGTATTTTGCTATTGGCAATAAGCGTGTAGTCTGCCGTACTACTTCATAAATAGGCACAGTTCAGGCTACTAAAGCAGGATACACATGCACGTCAAACGACCTCCGCATCGGTCGCACGACGCATCGGGTGTTTCCCGTGTGTAGAGCAAACAAGGCGCGAAGACTCAGCTGTTCTCGGTACAATCGATGTGAACTTGGAACCCAACAACTTGAACTCAATATCATCCCGAGTCATGGAGGCAGGAAGCTTCAGAAGGCGACATGAGACCGCCAGAGGTTAAACGAGAAGTGAGGAAGGACACGCCCCATAGATGACCCAAACCAAGAGACGCTTTTGGACGAAAAGGAGAGTTCTCGTCTTTTCGCCCAATAGCGTCTCGTGGTTTTGGTCATCGTCGAAGACGTGTCCCTCCTCACTTCTGGTGGCCTCATGTCGCCTCCTGAAGCTTCCTACCTCCATGTCACCGGTGGATACATGCAGCGCCGCCTAGCTCTCATAACGAGCGCGACGCTAGCACGCGGGGACACCAAGACGGACGCGCCTGTCTCTCTTTGAGCTTCAGCGTGTTTGCCGCTTGGGGCGGGTCGGGACCCACAAGCGATGACGTCACGCGCGGGCCTTCTCTTCTAGATGGTATGTGCTTGGCCCGCGCTGTATAGAGTACAATTAATGCATCAGCGGGCACGCAGATTGGAAATTGGGTCCAGACAATACAATGACGGATTCACACCCCAAAACGTCAAAAAAACAGAAAAAAAAAAATTTTTTTTTGGCATATATGCATTTTAAGTTCGTTGCAAACGGCATTTAGCGTAAGTTAGAAAAGATCAATATGTTTTCTTATTGCCTCGTGATTTGCGTCGATTTCTCAAGCGAAAGCTCGCGTGTGGGATAGAAAAAGAAAAAAAGCTTTAACACTATCTTTTGTATTTAAGGATCGTTTTAGTTTTATCCGGATGTGTATTCTAGGAAAAACAAAAAATAATTGTTTCAATGCCTTTCTTGCCTTTGTCTCCTAGAGGTAACCACTTCAAGCAGTACGTTGCTATCGAAGTGCAATCATCAGTTGAACACTTCGAGATTGGCCGCTATCTCGCAATAGACCCCTCTCGAAAGACCGCCCTCTGTCGGCAGCTGTGGAATCCCTGCACAATGGCGGACTACAAGCGCAACGTCGCGGCACACTTTATGCGTCTGGTTGGATTAGAAGGCAAAAACGCACCAACATAAAAAAGGTGACGACCAGAGCGCGCTCAGACGATCGCTATTTTATGGAGTGAATTGCACGTTCCACGATGTCAGTTGTTCAGGGTGTCTAGCGACCGGGAAAACCGGGAATTGTCAAGGAAATTTTAATTACCGGGAAAAATCAGGGAATTGTCAGGGATATTGTCAAAAAGCGAGCCCATGCAGTCAGGGAAAATGAGCTGGAAACGCCATCGAGTGCCCTGAGCAAGGACTTGCGAACTTGGAGGCGGAAAAATAGGCAATAAATTCTGCTTAGAGCGGAGCGCTGGCTCTGCTCACCCGATGCAGAGTGTGCTATCCGATGCAAAGGGAACAGTCGACACATTCAGTCCAAGCCGTGGATTGGATTGGGTTGAATTGAGGGCGTGACACTAGGCTAGATCGAGTTAGAGCTACTAGGTTTAGTAACAAATGAAAAAGCCGCAGACCCCAATCTGATCCAAGCCTTAAGCCGAAAGTATCCGAAGGTGTGCATCTGGCGCATGGAGAATAGAAGGGGGCATGACGTCAGCTGCATAGCCTCCACAAGCCATGCTCCCTTGACACCTCGCCTCTTTCTCATTTTCCTCCTTACGCTCCTCATTTATCACACTCTATAAAAAGCCCGTGCGTCTGCTTTCCCGCAGAACACAGGAGAGCCAATCAGCGCAACTTACGGAGGCAGCTCAGCGAATGACGATGCCGAAACATATGTTTAGACCAAAAAACAAAAAAAAAAAAAAAAACGTAGTCTGAGTTGTGACATTAAGCAATGCAAGCGTGACGTTTTGCATTGCTTAATGTCACAACTCAAACTGCGTTTTTTTTTTTTTTTTGATCTAAACATATGTTTCGGCATCGTCATTCGCTGAGCTGCCTCCGTAAGTTGTGCTGATTGGCTCTCCGAGTGTTGTGCGGGAAAGCAAGCGCACGGGCTCTTTTTAGAGTGCCCCCCAACATGACCAGATCACGTGACCGTCGCTAGCCTTCGTCTAGCCTTCGATCTGATAAAACCTATCGGACGGAGCGCGCGCAAGCCTGCAAGGAATCCTACAATCAACCATCCATCTCGCACGTGACATATGTCACGCGCACCAATTGCCAGGGAGATCTACGGTCACGCTGGACACACAATCGTTTAAACTTTTTATGACCAGGCTTCGCCAATATTGTATCGTGCCCCCTCGTAGTATGTACTTCTATTCTCCTTGATCTGGCGGCCATGCTGCCATTCTGTTATTGAAGTGTGTGGTTGAGCGTCGTGTTTTCATCGTGTTTCCGGAAGTGGCCTCTTCACTGACGATGTCGGCGGCAAGAAAGTGCTCGTTTAATCCGGACTGGACGAACCCGAATATTTCGGAATATGCAAGTTGGATCGAGCCCCTGAAAATGATCCTCACAGTGCTCAATGCGGTGTGTTGCAATGGTCTTATATATTTAACCGCCTTTACAGAGGTCAGAAAATTTCACCTGAAATTGTCAGGGAAAACCTGGAAAAGTCAGGGATTTTCAAAATAATAATTTGCTAGACACCCTGGCTGTTCCGCCATTGTGCTGTGGTTCTGACCTTCTTATAACTGGCACCTGGCTTTCGCAATGCGTCTATTTTATAATATATTTCGCCTCAAACCTCCCACTTTCTCTTCATTCCTTTTTTTCCGTCGTAGTTTCTCTGCTGGTGTCATCAGGAGGTCATCTAAAAACAAGCGGAAACGCACACTCTACGAACGTTAGAAACTAACACTTGTTAGTTTCCGAACAGCATGCTTGTCTATAACAATATGTTAGCCACTGTTGGCTAAAACTCAATTTAAGACACTTCCACGTGCTTCACAGAAAAACGAACCGACGAAACTTTGTTCAAAAGGTGTTTATTTTTGTATAAACTCATCTGCCACCATCTCTCCGTGACTCCTTCAAAAACAAAAGAAATCCGCTGTACAATAAAAAAAATCATCATGAAAAAAAAAAGCGAAACTATAAACAAAACTGGAAGTATACATGAACAGGACGTCTCGAAGACTTGAGGTAGACGTCCCTTGACACTTCGGAAGCTTTGGCAGAGTATCCATTCAGTCAAACACGCTTCTTATGAGACACTATTACAATCTCAAGCAGAAGATAAAAAAGAAAGTCATCTAGTATATTTCTACATTATCAATCGAAAACTGCGCGTGTGCACTAGGAAAGGTTTCGTTCAATTGCATCTAGTCGGCCCCTTACATGTACTCTCGATTCGCATCTGGAAAGAGGTGCCTTGAGACATCACACAAAAATAGCGGTGCAGCATATGTTACAGGCAGAGCCACCGTCATTTATTGCGAAATGCAAACCTCGCTCCTTGATTACTTTAAAGAAAGCTCGAATTATTAATCCAATATATGAATACTTCCGTAAATGCTCGTGCTTACGATACGACGTGCAAGTTTTCATCTTACAGGGGAGCAATTTTTTGTTTATTTTTGCATATAAATTATTTTTATTTTGAAACAGTTGTGAATATGCGGGACAAGTTCAGGCGTGCTCATATATTATAAACGTGATCAGGTACAAATAAAACTCTGAGAGAGGTCATTTTATATCGTGCCAAATTACACTATCAACAAAGTTCTGCCACACAATTATCGGGGAACGAGGCTACTTTCCCGATCAAAAAGTCAGTGGAGCGCCACGGGGAGGATTAGACGCGAGCACTTCGCTTCATAAACCGTCTCCTCTCCGCGAATGTTCATGCTAAAAACAAAAGCATCATATTCCAGAAAACAACCCCATCGTCTGACCACATCAGGGGTGCGCGTGCCCAGAAACCAGGCTGGCCTGATGTGCAGCATCTGCGCATGCGCCATGCCGACAGCAGCGCCACCCCATGCCGACAGTAGCTCCACCAAAGTGGCTTGACGTCGAAGAGTTGAGTTGGTGTTGGTGCAGAGCTGCGGGCTTTCGCGACTGTGCCTCAAATGGCGCTCGTTGAGCATAACTATAGTGAGAGATATCTTTGACGTTTCTTACGTTAGTGATTTTCGGAACCCCATTCGGAAAGAATAAAGATTTAACGAACGCAAACTGCAGGCAGGGCTTGTTTTAGTCTACCAGATGGAAGTCATGATACGTGTTTTTGGCTGGCCCTCGGTTCGAGAGTAGAGAAGTACACTCTTGACCACAGGACATCAAAGTATTGTTGGATAGCTCACGACAAAGACTGCCGAATCCGTGTTGCTCTTATACAGGATCCGTTTTTAAATCTTTTACTTTCAATCATGGCATTGAACTCTTGGAAACATCTTGTTTCAAAGTACAGAGAAGAAAAGAAGAAGAAAAAAAAAAAAGAGGGGGAAAGCCAGAGACTTTGAGAATACTTCCCAGAGGTTTTCTTTTCATTAAAAATTTCAGTTCATTACTAACACACACAAAAAAAAATCTTTAATATACATATGTGTGTTGTTTTTCTTTTTTTTTTAACAAGCCCTGAATTGCGGGGGATCTAAGTTATATACATATGCATATCAACATTAAAAATGATAGTTGCATTTTTGTGATGAGTGCGATGTTTACCTGAAAGCTACACCCCTGTGACTGAACCTTCACTACCAAAGGCAAGCAAGGGATTTTTTTCTTTTACTTAAACAAACTAAATGATTATGAGAAGTTTTACAATATGCGATGCATTCTATAACAGCGCTACTGAACATTTGTATTTACTAGTTTGATCAGAGCAGCTTTCAAGTCGAAAGGTGCATAGAACATTTTCTTCACACAAATTGAACTCACCTTCTGACATACCATTTAAATGCAATACAACGTTTTCGGGTAAATCACATCGGAGGCTTTTATAGAACTATGTGTGCTGTATAATAGTCATGTCACAGATAGTCAAGATTTTGAAAAGTTTGGTAAACTATTGGAAAGTTTTTTTATATTTGTTTTTAGATCAGACGACATTATTTTAATATTTATAAATGAATCGACTGGCCTTTGAACAACGTAACACTAGGCCACACGCGGTTTGCGAAAATATCTTTAAAGGGGTTCGAGGGCAGTACATTTCTGAGTCTTATCGATGAGCAATACAAAACCTTCAAAAGCAAAAGGTTTCATAATTAACCCAGCAGCAGCTCATTGGCAGTAGAGTGCACTGGAATATTAAAACTGTACCGTTCTGGAATTACAGCCTTACACAATTCTGTTTGGCGCATTCGCTTACATCATCATCGGTTCCTGCACCCTCCCCACCCATCGCTCTAATACTGTGACGGGCAGGACGCGCTCAAGAGATGATGCAGTTCTTGTCCGGATTCTTCTTCTCGGCCGGGCTAGTCCGTGTACGCTGCTTGGCCACAGCGAGGGCATCGCTGCTAACGTACGATATTCTCACACCACCGTAGGCTCGTCGCTGGGGCAACTCGTACGGGAAGTCGTCCGAACTCGAACTAGAACACGTGCTGCAATCGTCGTCTTCCAGCGGGGCCTCAACCACGGGCCGTGAGTTCCGGCTGCAGTGGGGCCGCTCCGGCCTGGACGTGGCACCGCTGTCCGATGACCCTCGAGCAGCTCCTCCGTCTTTGCTCCTTCTCGTCCTGTGAGACTTGGGCTGAGAGTGCACGGTGATCCTCGACGAGGACGGCGTTGGGTCCTCGTAGCCGTCACTGGAACTGGAGTCGTCGTTACGATGCCGCCGAGATCGTCGCGCCCGCTGCATCCGCCTGGAGTCTCCGTCGCTCTCAGCCTGGCCCAGGCTCGGGTCGAAGTGAACGGACAACATCTTGGCTGGTCCCGGTTGCGCGATAGGAGTGCTGCTCGTCAAGGGTGAGTGCGGCAGCCCGCAGGTGTTCTCTTGTCCGCTGCAAGAGGACGACTGCTGGATGTGTGTGTGGCTGAGGGACAGGTCCGGCATCGAGAAGTGCGATCCCGAGAGGCGGTGGCTACTCGTTCGACTAAAAGGACCGTTCTGGATTTCTTCTACGACTTCTACGAAGACCTCGGAACTGGCCAGGAGAGCCCCCAAGCGCAGGTCGGACACGTTGAGTGGCTCGCGTCGTCGACCGCAGGTTGGGGTCGACAAGACGGCGTCGCCACTGGCCGATGTCGTAGAGACATTTCCCTGAGGACGGCACGCGAGCTGGCGATCAGGGCTGTCGCTTCGACGTCCGTGCAAGCTCTCGCCTTGGCTGAGGATGCCGCGAACCATCTGCGTTGGTGACGGCATCGGCGGCATGGGACTTATCCCGGATGGATACCGCCCACAGGGACTTTGAGAGAGGCTTACGTGGGACCCGGATAGGGACGCCGTCCCCTGAAGCCTCGGTCGCACCCTCGGGCTTTCGGATGGCTGAGAAAAAATGGTCTTCTGCCGAGCGCCGTAGATGGAGGATCCAACAGTCGGCGAAGGCGGAGAGAAATTTCGGCCGAGGTTCGGAGACAACAACTGCTTGGGCGGCGTCGTAGGAATACCCAGACCGTACTGCTGACTGGCGGAGCCCTGCAGCGGCGAAACCGTCGATATCGTTCTCCTCACACCGCTGGGAGAATTGGAGAGCAAACCTATGTTTTGCCTCGCCGGTGTGAGACTCGGCGAGGTCGGGAAGAGCTTCGTTCGTAGCTGCGGCGATTCCGATGCCAAACTGGCGGACTTCTTGAGAATCCCTGCCGCCGGCGGTATCCCGTACGCACTCCCATGCGAGCTCCCTTGCACACTTCCTGCAGGCGATGCTGCTCTTGCCTTCGGTGGCGTGAACGAGCTCTGTCGAGATGCCTGGGAGTCCGGGGTTTCGGACCGTACGCCCGAACGCGGCGAATCAGAGCAAACGGTCGCTGTGGTGTCCGAGTTGCCGTGTGACGACGCCGAGTCGAAGGACCGTTGATGAGCGGACTCGACAGGGAACGAGGGGTCGTCTTCGCAGGGTGGTGCTGTCGAGGGTAACGGTGGCGGCGGTCGATCAACGTCGTCGGGCGGGGGAAGAGGCTGCTTTCGAATCAGCAGTGGACTTTGCCGAACGGAGCACTGTTTGCTTGGGGAGTTGGATGCGGTAGTCGTTGTGGTGGTGGGGAGCAGGGCCTTGCTTAATGCGGGAGATGCGGTCCGGTGCGAGGGGGACTTGGAGTCTCCTGCAAGAGAAGAGAGTTCAACTTTGAGCCGAAATACATAAGAAACACTGTGTGAAGATAAATGGCTACTATGATATGATTGTAAGCTAACATCGTGTCTTCTGTCTTTTTTTTTTTTTTTCTGGTACAGTTGATGCCAATTTTTGCAAACAATGAATAAATGACAACACTGAATATCTATTTTGTGTGCACGATTCCCTGGTGTGCTCCCGTGAGTTTTCATTTATTATCGCGCACGCTGTATAATGCTACGAGGAACCGCGACCCGCACACACCTGTAAGTACAGTGCGCCTTAAATTGAACACGCGAGCCATGGCCCAAACGGATATCACCACCACCTAACGATGATGCTACAGAGAATAAAGCGACCCTTGCCGAGACTGTCGCCATTGCCAGATACAAACTGCATGGCTTTCTTTTTTTACTCTGTCGGCCTCACCTTCGATTTTTTTTTTACATCCCTGTTTATTATTATTTTTTTTTTATATATACACCTGCATTTCTGTTATCCTTGATATGACAGTGCGAGCCACAGAAGAAGGTGATGCTTAAATTCGGCACACTTATCGTCGGAATTCTGTCTTTTTCAAAACATTTACCGTGTGATACATAGTCCGGCAGTTGACAACTCTTTTGCGGTACTGTGTTATTTTTTTTTTTTACCCTTTGCAACTGAGAATACATTACAAGAGGACGGCAGCATGAGCTGCCGGGATGTACACCGGTAAATGACGCAGGCAGTCTGTCCGGCCTAGAGCAGCTGTATATTCTCTGCTTGCGGAGCAGAGTATCGCAACGGTCTTTACTTTTTGACTTCAAATATTGAGATAGAAGCGAATTTCACTCTTGCAGGAGACGCGATGGGCACGACGGATCCACAGCGCATGCGCCGTCGTGCATCTCTCGGATTCCTCGTGTCGTCTGCTTGCGCACAACCACTCCGAAAGTGCGCTCGCGTTATAAAAATAACGCAGTTACACATATCTCAGGGGCACACACAATGTTCGAAGGTTTAAGAAGCTCCCTGCTCGTCATACCTCAGTGCAAGATCTACAATTCGCGAGCGCAAAGCGAAACATCTGACTCGCCCCAAAACCCGGCGCTGGTTTAGGCGGCTTCTCCGCAAGCGCCTAAACCCATCATTTGACGCATGGGCCCCCTTCGCCGCCAATGAGGAGTCGGCGGCCGATACTCGGGTGTTATATTTAACGGTTGAACACACTGAGTACATATTTCAAATCAGGTCGCAGTTGAAAGACGGCTGTGAAGCGTGCCTCGGGCGAACGCACCTTTGCTGCACTGGAGGGAGCAGTAGATGAGCCCTTTGCGGGGCAGGAAGGGCCTCCCCAGGAGCGACGTCTGGCAGGCCGAGCAGCGAAAGCAGGCCTCGGTGGCGTGCCAGTGCTGGCCCTCGTGCGACATCTGACCCTGGTCCACGCCCACGGGCTCGCCGCACGTGTCGCAGTACTCGGCGAACATGGCGTCGAAGCAGTGCAGGCAGTACGGCCGCCCGTCCCTCATGATGTAGCGCTGGCCGCCCAGCTGGCGGTCGCACTCGAAGCAGCAGAAGTGCCGCATGTGCCACGCCTGGCCCTCGGCCTCCGTGCACTCGTCGGCGAAGATTATCTGGTGCGGGTACGAAGCAGAAAGTGGATATGAAATCACGACGTACTTTAAATAATAAAAAAAGAGAGAAAACGCTAGACATTTTCTATAGAAAGAAACCAATATATTATTTTCAAAAGGACGCGCCATCTAGCAGCTGCTGCGCCAATTATCCCTCATACATTTTAAATATTTTATGTAAACAATACTAATAAAAAAAAGATTACCCCCTTTCTCTCATATATAAGGCAATTAATTGCAAAGTTCCAAGCGAGCTGGACAACAATGATGAAAATAATCCCTGGAGAAGAGGAACAAGAGGGACAAACATAAATCTCCAAACACAGCTTGGAGATTTGTGTTTGTCCTTCGTCCCCCTTCTCCAGTGATTATTTTCGTCATTCTTGTCCAGCTCGCTTGCAACTTTGCATTTAATTGCATTATAATCATAACCTTAAAATGCAAGCCTTTCACCCTTGTTGGTGTTAAACTGATGGCGGCTGATAAAACCTGTTTGCTCTACTGACGCCTAACCCCTGGTTAGTAGTTGGTAGAGCGCTCCACTGGAAGTGGAGAGGTCCCGGGTTCGATACCCTAACGAGGCGGATTATTCTGGTCGCGCACCAGTCACCAAGCTGTGTTTGGAGATTTGTGTTTGTTCCCCTTCTTCAGAGATTATTCCGTCTTTCTCCCGAAAAGTTTCGACGTACCTGGTACCCTATTAATGTTTGTGAAGTACGTTGCTCGACTAATTGGCGCATTTCGATACAAATAAAATAGCGCATGTGTAACAAGGAGAAGCAAGTATAGTATAGGACAGGCGCCTGTACTATAACTTACACGCTTGTCCTTGTCATATTTGCGCTGATCTGTTTGTATCCAACCCACCTCGTCACAGGCGGCGCATCTGGGCTTGAGGCTTTCGGCGTGGTGTCTCCCGCAGTAGAGCTTTCCGTCGCGGTAGAAGTAGATGAGGTCGACGAGGAGCTCCCCGCAGGTGGAGCACGTGAAGCAGCCAGGATGCCAGCCGCAGTCGGGGCCCGCCCGGGACGCCAGGACGCACATGTCGCCGCCGGACAGGGGCTCCTCGCACTGCGGGGTTCATACTAAGTCTAAATTTCTAGCGTACAACGGGCGTACTGTACAACGGCACATAAGGGGTGGTCGGAATCCTCTCCAACATTTGAGACACACACTTGCCACCGTAGCTGCGTCCGTTGCTTCCGATCGCGTGATGTTCCCGCAACTTTGCCGCGCGCAACATACACCTCCCTGCAACAGCATTGTTGGAGGGAGGTGTATTAATAAGAGAATCGATTGTTGCTTGTCCCGAACGTGCACTTTGTGACATACGAGAACCAACGTGTGGTTACAAAATTTGTAGATGTTCGCATATTGTTTACTACACTAGGTCGCCCGTGGGGTGGCGTCGCTGTCCGATCGGTCGAGAGCTCACTGCTTTCGTCGAAGGGGCTAAAGGTAATGACAGAGCGCTGACTTTGACAATAGTGTAAAGGCCATGGTGACTATACGAGATTCCATCGCATTTCTTACATACGCCATCGAACTAGCCGTCTGCAACCAATAATCGCAATTTAAACGCCGAGACAAGCTAACATAAAAAAAATAAAAAGCGCAACATGATAATTTTTTTTTTTTTTTTTAATATTGGGAAGTATTATACTCTGGTAAGAGTGAAAGGTACACCGCGAAGTGACGCTCGACCTACCGCACATTCACGACTCATACGCACGGGGGGACGACGTGGCGCTGTGTCCTGGCATCCAGTCTTCTCCACGTCGTGACAAAAAAAAACCACCAAAGATTGCCAGTGTCACTACGCGGATCAACGCTGACCGAAGCCGTAGCGCGCAGAAGGTCGGCGCACCGAACACCCACCGAGAGCAACGACGAGTGTGTTTCCGGCTGCGAACATCGAATCGACCCTGTGCCCGAGCCCCAGCCGTGTTTATGAGTCACACGGACAGGGGAGCAGCGGGAGAGCGGAACCCGGGGGTTTTCCCTCTTGTCCTCTTTCCTATTCAACTGCTCCCGTATGCGGAAAGGGAGCAAAGATAGCAAGAGGGACGGGGTTATGAAACGCACTAATGGCGGACGCTATAGCGGCGCCGGCGAGAGCACCACGATAACAGGATTGCAGGGGTCCGATGCCGGAGCCGTAAAATTAAGAGTGGAATGCATTGCCCCGGCGGCAGCGTGGCCCCATATGTTGCAGATATATCGTTCGGGAGGCACTCAGCCCGCCGACGAAATTACGATTTTGTCTTTACGATGGGACCTTCGCTATACGGAGGAACCGTTTCGGATGCGGCTGCAGCGACAGCGCCGTTCTCCGGTGTCCGTTTGAGACGGTCAGAAACGGAATGTTGTTTAATATACCTTCCTAAATTGCGTTTTTTTTTCTCTTTTCCTTAGTGCATTTGCACAATATTTCTAAGGAAACATAGTTATGTTTGAATTTCGTTTGTTTTCCCATCTTTCCGGTTCGGAGGGCGGTCGTCCGTGTGTCGCATTGGTTGCGCGAACACTGCGTATAGCGTGCGATGCGAATGTGGCATTGATTTGAGCTGCAGAGGTACAGCTCGAATCAAACTTTCTCTCTTCCATGCAAGGCCGGTCGAATAGGAACAGAACGACGTGGCATATTGATAGCGCAGTCCAGCGGAGCGCCGTCATAAGGTTCCAAGGGCTAAAATAGTAAGGGTGCAGGCGAGCTGGTGGATGTTAACCATGTTGAATACACCTGAGACTGGGGTAGAAAAGAACATAAAAGTCGAAGAAACAGAAAGGGACAGGACGACGTCTCAATGAGACGTCGTCCTGTCCCTTTCTGGTTTTTCGACTTTTATGTTCTTTTCTACCCCAGTCTCAGGTGTATTCAACATGGTTTCCAAGGGCTGCACGGGGCACACGTCTCGTGCAGTCTTTGGAACCACTAGTAGCGAGAAAACACACCAAACGGGATTCTTTATAACTGATTATACTCTGTTTCATACTTAGCGTGCAACGCTGTCAAAGCTACAAGCGCGAGCTTGGGGCTTGATCTCGTTGATCGTTTGCACGCGTTCTCGCGCAAACAAAACCATAGATGAAGCCACGCGCTCGTGCCAGTAGCTTTGACAGCGTTGCACGCTAAGTATGAAACAGAGTATAGATTCATATCACTGGCCCCATAGGCATTATATGCATTCTTACATGCTAAAAGAAATAACTTTGTGTTGCGTCTTTTGATACTGTTTAAGCCTTCGGAAGATTGATGTAGTCAGGCACCCCGGCGAAGTACGTAAAAAAATGTACCGCCATCCACGAAAAATGTTGCGCAAAAAAGGCAAGCTACAAAGTTCTCGTGCACCTCAGCGCTGAGATAACGCACACTGTCAGCGCAGCATCAACTGTCAGCGGTGACTCAGCGTTGAAATAGAGCTGCAGTGTGTGTATAAGCAAGAAAGAGACGGGGTCATGTGCATCGGGGCGTTGGCACAACGCTGTTATAGCGCAAAGCCAGCGCTTTGTGCGTATAGGCCAGCGCTGCGGTCGGTTCACACATAGATCGTAGCGCTAAATAAACACTATAGGAACAGTGCCGCCGCAGTGCTGATTTGAACACCACTTAGCGCTGATGTGGCACTGCAGCTCTATCTATAGCGTGAATCCAACGCTTAATCAGCAAGGCCAGCGCCGTTTCCAAAGCCGACTAATGGCGCTGAGGTATAGCCAACGTTACTAGAACAACTCAGTCGAAAAACTGCCATAGAGCCCGCTTTAAAATGTGGTTCCGATCCGTACTCGACAACCGAACTAAAGGCAATCGCAACGCCGCCATTCCTCCCGCAGCGGCCACACCGGGAACTGCACGGCTGCACGTTTTGGTTTAGGTTGAGTCGCGCAAGGGCCGGTGGCGCCATCTCGCAGTGCCATTTCGCAGTAGCAATATAAATCAACTTTCATGTTTTGACTCGTCACTAAGCAATCTTAGAAATAGGGGATGTAGTACTCACACCAGGGATGGGCAGTATTTCAAATACAAGTATTTTAAATACGTATTTCAAATACTTTGTGTATTTTGTATTTGTATTTAATTACAAATTGGGTAATGTATTTGATGTGTGTATTTAAATACTAAAATGTGGGTATTTCAAATACAATTGTAATTAAATACAATTTTGTGGGCGAAAATACATCCCTCAAATTTATTGTCACTGTCCAGAGCAGGAAGAAAACTACGTTCTGCACCGAGTGCAGTGTCTCTCAATCAAGCACAAGCGTTTAGTGACTTTCTGATTACGGTGCTACTCCAGGGCAAGAATAGTGAAGAAATCGACGTTCACAGTCAGACTGGCTAAATAAGTGCCTGTGACAACTTGTGATGCTTTCCAGCCTGATTTCCATCCATATTTTTGCCTGGAACATTCTAAATGCACGGGTCGTCCAGATTTTCGTAACTGGTGCGAGTTGCAACAACAACAAAAAAAAATCTCTAGCTAGTGCTGCGCGTCTTGGTCGTCTCAGTTCTTTGTTGGTCTATACCAAAATGTATAATCGACAAAAAAAAAAAAGCTGCTTGCAGCTCTGTACTTATTTCCCTAGTACGTCCAAACTGATTACATTTTTTTGTGATTATATTTCTATTATGTTACTATAGTCGGTTACAGGTTAAGAAAATAGCGGCAAATGCCCCACAAACGGACTCGTATATCCCCCCGCCATCTCCGAATCCAATAGCGTCTCATTGTTTCCGTGACGTTGCGGTCGACGCGCGAGGAGGGTTTTGCCTGCCTGTAAATATTTGCATTATCTTTCGACTTTAACTTAGCATTGTGGAAGCCACAAGAGGGAGATTAGAGTTTTCCCCCTCCGATGAAAACAAATATGACTTTCGGGGACAAGCTTCCCCCTTTGATGGATACAAAGGCTGCTTTCAGGGGCTCGGTTTCCCCTCCAATGAATACGAAGGTCGTTTTCTTAAAAAGTGTGATCGGAGCCAAGTTGGAATCTATTGAAGCGGAACAAGAAGCGTTTCCAGTGAACTCTTTTTTCGACTGCGGAGAGATTTGAAACAAGCGCATGACGCTTGTGGGAGGAGCTTCTCCTACCTTCTTGAACTCCCGAGTGTGCGATGTAAAATTAAAATGAGATACCCAGAAACCCGTTGCAGGTGCCCTGAAGTCGCTGACGCAAATTTCGAGGAATGTATTTGGAAAAGTATTTGGAGGAGACCAAATACATTTGGTTGTATTTGTATCTTGTATTTAAATGCTTTTTCGGAAATGTAATTAGATTTGTAATTAAATACATTTTTGACGAAGTATTTTGTATTTGTATTTTGATACATATTTGCATGTATTTTGCCCATCCCTGACTCACACCCCTTGTCCCGTATATAACACATTCAAAAACTACAATTCGACCTTCAGTTTATTGACGTCGAACAGACGATACCAACTTTCACCAGTGATTTGATAGTCGAGTGATACAACTCATTAAAATAGCTAATGTGCGCATTAAAGACTACAGAAAAAAACTCAAGGTTTTGTTGGCCCTGCTGCAAAACGTCAGTTTCTCTTTTTGGCAGTCTTTGGTACGCAGTACATTAGCTATGTAGTAAGTTATGTCACACGGCTATCAAGCCACTCGTAAAAGTTGATACCTTTCAGTGGACTGAACGCCGAAATGTAGTTTCGGCGTTCAGTCCACATCGGGACAAGGGGTGTAAATCCTACACCCCTTCGCTCTAGTGAAATGCAGCTCCAGGGTCGCCTCGTAGTTGGCGCCAGCGTGCCAGTGAGCGCTCTCGTCGTAAGAGATGACAAGAACTCGGTCGTGAATGCGAACGCAAGTGTGAGGACGTACGTTCTGGCAGAGGACGGGCAGGGCGAGGTTGACGGGTAGCTGCCGGACGGATCCCCTGCCGAGAGCCTCGCGCTTTCGCTGCCCCGAGAAGAGGCGCAGTTCGCGGCGTTCTTCCTCGCAGAGCCCGTTGCAGTAGCGCACCTCGGAGTCGTGGGGCGGCAGCTGGTGCAGCAGCTGCCGAATGCGGTACTTCTCGCCCACGCTGTTCACGTACGGCACCTTGTCCTCGCCCAGCGCCGAGAAGTACAGGTGCACCTGCAAGACGACCGGGAACGTGGTCAGACCGACTCCGCCCGGTGTTTGTACACATTCCTCCGAAACAGGAACGAGAGCTACTTCCTCGTTCGCTCTCAATCTTGGAACGAGTTCCCGTTACGAGTTCCCGTTACGAGTTCCCGTTACGAGTTCCCGTTACGAGTTCCAGTGGCAATTCCAAAGGAACGCGATCCCGTCACGTTGTCAAGATTGGAACTTGTCGTTACATTAACTTCACGTTTACGTATTTTAATGAATTCTAAATAACCAGTAAATTAATTTTAAAAAAAACACGAAAAACAAGAAGCAAGTTGAAATGTTTACATCGAACTACAAGTCGAGTCGCCGCAATCATTCTTTTTTTTTTTTCGATAATTTCTCAGAAACTTTCCCTTCTCTTGAAGTCAGACCTTAGTGTAGCGCTCGAGAAACGATCAACCAAAGTGATCTGCCGCAACGCCGCGTTTTGACAGCCACAGGTATAATCGGGCCCCACGTGGCACTGGAAACCAACTTGGTCAAAGTAAAACAAGTGCCCAAGTGAGGAATATTGGTACTTAACAAACATAAGTTCGTTCAGGGGAATATGTCTCGAAAATAAAGGGTAAAAGAAGACGTTGATATATCGTTATCTCATTGCTACTTTGCTCCTACTCCCCTCAAGGAAAAAAAAAAAAAAAAAAGGAAGACGAGAAAAGAAGAAATGATCCGTGAACTACTAAAGTTTTCTTGGCGGGCCACACCACCAAAGTTCCTTCTCCCTCACTTCCCATTTCTGTATGGACTCGCTCTCCACATCATACCTCCCGCCGGATGCCGATTTCACGTCAAGGAAGCATTATTTTGTATAAAAACAGATGAAAACTTGGAGCTTTTTCTTTTCGATTGGGCCTCTCGATACAGACCCTGACTACAAACACGTTTCTTTTGCGCGCATATTCGTAAAGAGAAATGAAGATGCGCAGTGTTAAGGATGGTCGAGCGGCCTTTGGGTTCCCCCGGCCGTTTTGTTTTTCTTCTGCTGACCGGGCAAGGGGTCATCTCTTTCCTCGTGTGCTTTCCGCCGGCCACGTGTCGGTCGTATGTGTTTTGTTTTTAGTGGCGGGGGTCGTTACATTCCTGCGAGCCCCCTCCGGGGCCGATCATGTTTTCGGCAGTGGCGCCGTGGTGGCGGGGACCAACAGACAGCCGAACCATAGAGTGTCGTCGGTGCTGTCAGCCCGGGTCCGTTGCGGGCTTGACCAATGTCGACATCCACCATTTGTGTGTAAACGTCCAGTGCTCTCGTAAAGGTATAAAACAACTGGTCGCCCTTTGCCCGCGGGCAAGGAGGTCGATGTCCTCAAAAGCTTGTGCCCAGTCGAGGGAGAGAGCGATTTATTGGCTGGGATTTTGACCCCGTAACCGGTCAACCAGAATCCCCCATAATTTGCAGAAAGATATCATATATATATATATATATATATATATATATATATATATATATATATATATACACTGTTTGTGAGAGAAGTGTTTGTGAAAACATGGTGAATCGGTCTTAGGGGTGGGCGATCTGGGCGGTCGCACGGGGAGCCGTGCGACCGTGCGACCGTGCGACCCCCCACCTTTTATTATTGATTAAATTGAATTATTATTATTCTAGAAATATTATTGATTGAATCAGAAACAAACAAAAAATCAATAGTAAAAAATAGGGGGGGGGGGGGGGGGGGGAGGTCGCACGGGGAACCGTGCGGCCTCCCCCCTCCCCCCCCCCCCCCCCCCCCCAAAAAAACCTGTTATTATTGATTTTTTGTTTGTTTGTTTTTGATTTATCTGAACACAGCGCCCGACACGATGCAATGTGCTCGATCGCCGTTCGATTTTGGAATGCGGTTGTCAACTGACAAAGCGCGCATGTAAGCCACTACTCACCTGTTTACTAACGACGTGATGTCGTAACCAGTAAATATGGGAGTATAAAAAGGGAGGGGGTAGGGGGGGGGGGGGGGGGGGGGGGCGACACGGCCGGAGTTCGCCGAGGGCGCTTAATCGTGTAAGGCCGGCCCCGTTTGCACTGTAATACCACGAACTCTCCGTCGCGCTCCTCCCAATCAACGCCGAAGAAGACCGCATCGACCATCGACCCGCAAAACACCGCGGGTACGAGCAACACCATCAGGGGCCCTAAACTCGTCGAACACAAAGTTGGAGCCCAAAGTTAGCGGAGCGCGCTGATTGGACGCCGCCGAAAAAAGTGCCAAGTCATCTTCGGGATCGTCCAATCGGTGCGTTCCGTGAACTTCGGCCCAAACTTTGTGTTCGACGAGTTTAGCACCCCAGCTCTCAACAACAAAATAACCATCTTTAGACGCAGCGTCAAAACAAGCTGCTGTCAAAGCGGTCATTGGGGAAATATCTTTCATGGCGGGCGACTCAGTTTAACGATTGTGTGCGAAAGGATGCCGATTACTGCCCACTGCGATACATTCAACTATACTAAGGTATGGTTATTTTTTAATATATTGCAATGACGATGTGAAAGAGCGAATATTGCCGCAGTCGTCGTCGTTTACTTTGTACTATTAATTATGTCTCTGCGTCTCTGCGCCTGTTCTCTCAAACGGTGTGTTCTTTTGTAAACAAGAGTTGGTATGCATCTAAACTTGAGCGACACAAAGTGTGATGGGCTCCGCTGCGCTGTTGTTAAAAGGGAGTGCTGAATTAGCAACCAATCCCTTTAATTAGTGTTTACCTAATAGGAACGGCGCGACGCGTACAACACGTCAATTGCTTGACTCTGCTTAGATAATGTTACTGTCTTGTTTTGATGTGAAAATACTTTAACACGATGTTCGACAAACATTGAAGCACAAATAAAACGTGGAAGATGAGAAAAAAGAAAGAAAGAAAGAAGCCATCGGCGCCAAAGGGAGCTTCGAACAGTATCCAGGAATCGCTTGTGCAACGAACGACTCCGATATTCCCCCTGGACCCTTATCGGCCGATGGTATCTTCGCTACCTTTCGGCTTTTAAACCCGGCCTGAGCCAACAAAAGCAGCCCGAGAAGCCCACATTAAAGACCCCCGGCACGTCTCCACTTAATAACACGCGCCCGGAGGCGCATCTCCAATCACTACCAGCCATCTTGGACGCCGTGCCTGCATAATTTATATGGGGGAAGGGCTTCGGAACTTTAATAGTGCAGTCCAACGCTATTGGTTCCCACAGCGCCGGGATCAGGAAACAAGCTAATACAGTCGAAGAGAAGAGTTTAAAATCGTCCTTCGAAAATAAGAAAATAAGAAAAAAAAAATCCTGTCAACTTTCTTTACGGTATTCTTGCAGGGATGTAGGACAGACAGCAGCGAAGGCAGCCAGAAAGCGACGGGAGACAACTTAAGAAAGCGTTAATTAAAAAGACAGAAAGAAAAAAGTTCTAGGCTTCGTATGCGATACGAAATAAACAGAAGGCAACCAAGCAAGGGCGGTTGACCGCGCTACACGCCTAAAAAAACGTTTAAAAAAATGCGGCGTAAAAAAAAAAAAAAAAAATTACGCGGCATCCTGCTTTGAGGAGTCGTAAAAGTTTACCCCTCGGCGTACGTGCCCTGAATGTCCTCCCGCTCGCGGCGTCGAAGAGAAATCCGCGCGCGACCGACCGCGCAGACGGAACAAGAAAGAAGCGTCGGGCCAGAAACCGCCAACTTTTTGCGGCGGAACGGCGAATAGAACTCGGACGTTCTTGGCTAAAAGAATACAGAAGGACCGGTGGCCCGATTTGGCTCCCGCTGTCTTAATAAATACCAGCAGTCTCGAGACGTGTACGCCACGGGGCGCCCTGAGCTGCGGCGGCGGCCTTTCCTGATTCGGTATACAGCAGTACGCCCTCTGGCCAGCATACACATTCATCGCTCCCCCTCTGTGTAAGTGTTGGGGAAGTAGCACACTCTTCTGCAGTGCACGCAAGGTATACCGATCCCCCCCGCCTTCCTTACGACTGGGTTATCGGGTTTGTCCAGCGATGAGGCGTGAAACGACTCTGCCTCCAAGGGACCTTTGACGTTCTACCGGTTCTACGTCTTTCTTAGGACCAGGTGCTAACCCCTCTTAGTGCAAACAAACCAGGTAATCAAGAAAATCGTGTTGTGCTTATGACCAGACAGCGAGAAGTGAGTTATCCACGGCTGGGCATCTCTCCTCTGTGGGGTCTTTAAAGGGGTCATGAAATGAATTTTGGACTGGGATAAATTATTTAAGATTGGAATTTTACTATCGCGTATCGTTTAGGATGCCAAAAGGAAGAGGGCGGAAAATCAATTTTCGGTACGAAAATGTGAAAATATAGCGGACCATTTCTTTTTTCCTAATTCCGCCGAAAGCTCTCCGCCTTTTCACTATGATACATCCGCGGTATACCCAAATCGCGTCAGCCGACCCCAGCTTACCCATTGGACATGAGCACTGCGTCTCTCAGACGGACGCGCTCGCCAGCAACCAATCCGTCGACGAATATTTGGATTCGCGTTTGTGGCCAATGAGTGCCGTGAAGGGGCACTTATCATCACTTGCGAACGACAAGTTCCATGGTGTGCTTAAAAAAGCACGGTAAAAGCTTGAGTTCGAGTCATCGTACCAATGCCTAAAGACGTCACGACCAAATAAATTCCCATTTTACTTTTGAAAAAAAGAAAAAATTTATGTGTATACACTCTAGAACTTGGTCTGCATCAACGGGCGACGACTCTCCCAGCTGTAGATGAGAAATTTAGCTAGTGCAGTACAACCGCTAGCCTGGGGTCTTTAACGTGCATCACGCAGTAGTGATACACGACCGCACGCCGGTGCAATGCTCATCCAGATCGAAACGGGCAGGCGTGTGGATTGAACGTATACACATTGAACCTATATACACAAGGCCTGCGCATTTCCTCCTCGAAACGTCATCACTAGTAGATCTCCTCAGCGCCCCCTAGCTAGCACGGGTGAGCTCCATCGTCTGCGACATCTTCTGCTC